ATGTACTACAACATGTGCAGACATTCTGAGTCATAGAGGTAGACTTTCAGAAGGAACCTAGATGGTTGATCCCAGTTCCACATACTTGATGTCTGATTTCAACCATAACTCAATAAACTCTCTGGTACAATCATCTGAAAAACACTTCAAAGGAGGGGGAGAATTTTAGTGGTCATTTCATATTTCCATAACTATTAACCTGCTTGAGATCTGTTCCTGTAATAAATCACTTATTAATTTATTTTTTAAATAAAATCTCCTTGGAAGAGTCAAAGCACAGAATTCTTTGCTTTCAAAAGAGGAGTAGCCTCTATTTCTCCAAGACCGTGGAGCCATAGCTGGCTGTTCCTTCCTCTGGAACTTCATGCAATTTTCTCTTGAATAAACTCATGGTGAAAACAAGTGAGGATCTGCCCAATGAACCTAATGGCCATGTTTACACACATTTTCAGCACAGTTTCAGTCAAATCAAAAGAGCACTGAAAGCCTCGCTGCAGCTTCTGAAGTACTGAACAGACATCTCTTGCTACCCCAATTCTGTCTTTCTTCTGGATAAAGTATCAACACACCAGCCTCGTCCTCCTGTGTCTAGGGGATGATGTTACAAGTTTCACTGAACTATATACTGGAAAACTGTTAGGGTGGTAAGCTTTATATGTATTTTCCCACAATAAAAAGGTAGAAAAACAACATATTAGGTTGTACTGTACCCAGTACTGCAGAAAATGATTGATGGAAACACGAATCAATAAAAAGACAAAATGTAATCAAATAACTACAAGAGTGTGCTAGCTAGGTTCTTTCTGTGGCATGCAGAAAGCACTATTGGTAACACTGGGGCACAGATGAAAGTGTAAGCAGCCCTGTAACCTGTGAACAGAGAGGGGGTCTGGAGAAGGGTAGAGGTGTGTTTTACAACTTCATGGAAGAGTTGACAACTGACCTCAGATTAGAAGGTGAATAAAGATTTGGAATGGTGACTGAGAAGGATTCTAGGTAGAAGAAAGAGATGTAGAAGAAGGATAGGACTTTGGTTAGAGTCTCATAATTTAAAGAATGTGCTGTGCTCTTCTGCATGTTTCTCTGCTCATTTCTCTTGAGGGAAGTTCTGCCTGGTTGAAACATAGAGCCAGTGAAGGAGCGGGGTAGGAGATGATGCCAAAGACGTAGATGTGTGGAGGTACATTGCCCACCATGGTAGAGTTGGGATTTCTTTCTAAATCAATGGTCTGAGGCAGACATGGGTTTCAGAGTCATTCGTGGAGTTCTGAAAAAATACATTTGTCCATAATCTCATGGGACATTTAGTTTAGTAGGTCCAGTTTGAAGCCTGGGTTCACATATTTAGCCAAACTTACACGTGTGAGTCACATTTGTTTCCAGAATAACTACCATAGCTCATAAGACATTACTAAAAATTTTACAGTGGTACCTCAGTACTGGTCTTTAATTAGTTCTGTAAGGTGCAATGAGTGCCAAAAATGATGAGTAGCAAACAAATTATTTTGGGTTGAAAGGATAATGGGTCAAGAGGCAATTGACATAGGCAAGTTCTAGCTTGAGTGGCCAGTACCAATCAATGACGAATATCAGAACAAAATTTTCCTATAAAAATGTGTTGAGTATCAAATTTGACAAGTGTCAAAGTAATTGAGTACCAAGCTACAACTGTATTTTGAAAAGAAAGGGAAAGAGTGAAGATACAATGTTCCAAAATGATAGTCTGAAGTAACACAGTAGCAATAAGGAGAATGGAAAGGAACAGATTAGAGAGGAGGTCAGAAAGTCAAAATGACTGCACCTGATGGTTAATGAGATGTGAAAGGTGAAAGAGGGAGAAATCAAACCTTACTCAGAAAACTGGGTGATGGTGCAACCACCAAGATAATAAATGCTCTTCAAGGTACTAAACACAATGTCTGGAAAATGGGCTGTCGAACAGTAAGTGCTCAACAAATTTTTGCTGAATAAATTAAAAATAAATCTATTAAGCCAATTATCACATAATGGTGAATGAAAACAATAAGTGGTTAGGTTTTGATTAATAGCATGAGTTTTGTTGGTTTGCAATAAATTTAGATGTCTGGGGATAAGTTGAGTAGGAGATTGTAGAAAAATATATTCAAAGCTGAGGGTGGCATAAAAGAAAAAAGAAAAATCACAAAATCTGGAAAGTTTGGTCTTGGTTCCAGAAACAATAAATGGTTCATTTGCCTCTAAAACAGTGAGAGATGAAGCTGTGAAGATGTAGTGTCGCCATAATGCAGTGTTTCTGAATGGTGGTCCAAAGAAAGTTTTAATTAATTCAGGAGGAAATGTAAGGTAAGAGGTGAGTTTTGGGTGGGGAGCTTACATCATCTTCATTACTGTGTTCTTCTGGGAGAATCTTAGAGCAGCAGTCAGAAGGGATGGATTGGGACAGAAGGCAGTCTTAAGTGAAGAAGATCAGTTAGAAGGCTCGAATCAGGGTAGAAGCAAAAGATAATTAGAAGAAATTAAACAAAGACGATCAAAGAGGAATGAAAAGGCAGGAGCAGATTCAAAGGATATTCTGAACAAATTAGTATGCATGAGCTGCCCCATACAGAGATGGCTGAGAAATCTGGATTCATAGTACATGCTGGGCAGTGGAGTATGTCAGTGCAATAAACAGAAACAACAATGCCAGCAAAACAAGCAGTTTTAGGTGAAGAGAACTGATTTTGAGGAACCAGAAGGACAACCAGGTGGAGAAATATTTTAGGCACCTGGAAATGCAACATAACAGTTTTTTTTTTGTTTTTGTTTTTTGTTTTGGTACCGGGGATTGAACTCTGGTCCTTGTGCTTGCGCAGCAGGCGGCAAAACCACTGAGCTAAATCCCCGGCCCAACAACATAACAGTTTACAGACATTTGGGAGCCACCTGGTAGAAGTTGTGGGGTGGATAGACAGTCAAAGACACAAAATGCAGTCACAAAAAAGTCACTGGGCTTCCTTGACCTCAGCTAGGGGAGGAGGTGGGGAAATGGAAGGGAAAGAGGAAGAGGAGTAGAGAGAGACAAGAATTATCTGGAAAAATACACCTTTCAGAAGACAAGAATCAGAGCTTCAAAAGGAAAGAGGGAGTATATATAAATAGAGTTAGAGAATTTGAGGTGGAGAAAAACTGAGATGGGGCACATGGGTCTGCTGACACATGCAGAGGTGTAGGTGTAGGTGTTGGGGGATTGAAGCCAGACCAACTGGGGTTTCAGAGGAAAGGTGTGGGGAGGCACAAAGAAGCTGCATATTTCCTTGTCGTGTTTGATGCTAGAGTCAGGGGCACTGGTGGGCGTGGCTCTTGGGATCACAGCCCTATGATTTTAATGAGCTCAAGGTAATCTTTTCATTCCCAGTAGTCAAATAACTCACTGAAACAATGGGGCAAGAAGAACTATGAGTGTAAATGTCCTTTGGAACTCTGGAATCTAAAATCTCCTTCAGGAACCTGCCTGGAAGTGCTGATGTCAACATTTCCAGAGGCAAAAGAGTCAAGTTGGTTAAGGATACCATTTTGCATGAAAATATGTGTGCCACAGCTGTGTGGGGCAATTAACTAGCTATAACAACACTATTACCTGAATGTTCCTTTTTAGTGCTAATTTGAATGCTAATTTTATCATAAACTGAATCTCCCTATCTCTGGACTTTCTATTTCACTTGATTTTATATCAAATCTGTTGGCATTTAATTAGGATTGCCTTGAATTTATGCATTAATTTGAGAACAGCTTGCATTTTTACAATACTGTATTCAGCTTATCACAAGGAAGGTTTCTTAACCTTTCTTCTGTGTCTCCTGTCAAAGGTAATTATTTTTCATATAGGTTCTGCACCTATCCTTTCAGTTTATAGATCTTCATCTTTTGAGTAGCTATTGGCAATGGTATTATTTCATACATTATAAGTGCGTGTCTTCCTAGATGAACAATTAACATTTAAAAGAAACAACTAAATACATCTGACCCTCATAGAGCTAATGATATGCATGTAAAAAATATTTTGGATAATATTGTTATGGAAAAGAGAAAAAAGAATGCTGTTTGCTTTGGCTGTATATTGCCAATCCAATGCGTGCTTACATAAGATGGGCTGTGACTATTTAGAGACAAAATGCATTCAGCCTCAATCGCCACCGTTTCCCTCCTAATATTTCACAAAGCCAGACACAGATTCTGGCTGTTTCCATAGAAAAGCTGCCCTTCACAGCCCTGCTGCTGGACTTCATTACTATTACCCTTGGCTCCTTTGCCTCCTCCCAAGGTGCTGGTGGGACAGGCTGAAGGAAGCCACCGCTGCAACCACAAGTTCCCCCACCTCCAATGCAAATCACACTCGCTGTGGCAGAGGTCTTTTCAGATGCTTTGATATAGCTATGCGTCACAAGGGTTTAGATTTCTTTTGTCCCTTCACCACAATCCTTTATCTTTTCTGTTTGAATAACCTATTTAACAAATCTTTTAGACAAAGAGCCAACCAATTTCTGTAAATGGCCAGACAGAAGATGTTTTAGGCTTCACAGACCATATGGTTTCTGTTGCAGCTCCTGAAACTCTGCTGTGGTGGTATGAAAGCCTCATAGATAATAAACAAATGAGCCTGGCTGTGTGCCAATGAAGCTTTATTTACAGAACAAGTGGTGGGCCAAATTTGGCCCACGGGCCTTCATTTCTAGATGCCTATTTTAGATCAGCATTATTATTTATTCCTTTGAAAATTAACAGCAGTGTACTCGTCTCTACAGAAGTAAAAATGACAGGATCCATGCACTGAAATCAAGAAAATGAAGACAATTCACCAAAATGACTTCCTATCAATCTCTTAACAATGGTTCTCAGCCATTTCTTTGGCTTATGAAGCACGAGTGGGGTTGCACCATATGATAAACACACATGTGACGTTGCAGTGTGGTCACTGCTTTGGGGAGAAAGAGTGAAATAGAAAACTATCATTAGTGATGTGAGTATCAGCTCCAACTTACCAGTCTTGTACGGCATTGAAGGATTCTTCATTTGTGATGTCATACATTAAAATGAAGCCCATAGCGCCACGATAATAGGCTGTGGTGATGGTCCTGTATCTTTCCTGGCCTGCTGTGTCCTAAAAAACAATGGTGATAATCTCTCAGAAATAAGGCAGTACAGTTTTTGGAGGTGATAAAACCATAAACGAGTCACAACATAGAATCTAAAATGCATGTGCAATGTATAGCTGTCTTTTTTAATGTTGTTATTCCTAATGACTTTTATATGGCAGCTTTCAAATACTCTGAAAAAAAATTTTTTTTGGTACCTTTTTCATATGTTCAGTCCCATTTCCCAGCACCTAACTATAGAAAATGCAAAGGAAAGAATATCTATCTATC